AACGGTGCAATATGATACTCACAATCCTTGATTTTCAAACATCTGGGAAGTCCCAATTTTAATAACGGCTTTGTATTGTGAAATTCGTGAAATTAGGACTTTCAAACGAACTTTATTCATAAACCATAATTTTAGTGGCGTATCTACACATACGCAAAGTACGAATGTGTATACTCTCAAATTTAATGACAGAAAAATGAGATTTTCCGTTTTTTTAAACTGATATATGTTATGAAAACTGACATTTTTTCATTGGGATAACATGAGTATGATTATTGAAAATTACTAATAATCTATCATTATCTAATCTGGATCGGTAATTAGGTAATATCCAAATTTCCACATCTTAATATTCTATGTTTCAATTCTCTCCAAAACAATAAAATTAAATGCATATATTTCACCATGATTATTATCATGACATTTCAAAAGGTAATTATTTCGAAATTGATGTAATAAATAATATTTATTTTATCACTATTATACCAGTCTAAATAGCCGAGTCAACATCTGAAATCCAATTTCTAAATAGCGATCCTTTATTCCCAAAAGGGATGGAATTAAATATGTTGAGGGATTAACTACAACGGGTATCCTCAACTTCCCTGGTACGTTTCATAAATAAATGGAGAGTAAAGTGACACATATTAGGGAGTTTAAGCTTGCAGTGTTTTTCACAACCTAAACGCGAACGGAAAATATATTTAAGCGATGCATTTGTGTCAGCGATTGGTCATACGTATAGGTTGGCGTTCCAATTTCTTATGCAAGCTTAAACTCTCTATTACCAAAAAGACTGACACATATGAAAAAACTCTTTTGATCAGCCCAAGTTACGACGGTTTATTGGCAGAGCTTGATTTTCCAAGGTGCGCTTATCACGATTGTTTCCCGAAATCGAACCCGGATTTTTTCAAAAAGACATACTTTTGTACAGAAATGAAACTGGACATTTTGTCCGGCTTTTTGCTATGCGTGTTACATACACTATTTACTGTTAAACCTGTATATTAGAATACCTGGCTAATCCGAACACCTCCAAATCTAAACACTTTTTCGTCCCATTTTCCTCCAATTGACTCTTAAAATGTGAACAGCTTAAATGTGAACACCTCTCAGTTTGAAGAGTGAACAGTCATGTTTGTAAAACTTATCTGTCTAATCTGATCACGTTATCAAATGTTTTTACAAAATCGCTCAAATATTTTCTAGTATTATCACTGTCTTATCATGATATCAAAACATTTGGAAAAACATGGTTTCAATAATAAAATGTCTTTATAACATTGCTAATATATTCATTTGAATCTGATTTTCAAATTATTGGAATGCAATAAAGCTATGAGGTCAACAGAGCTATGAATATTTATGAATGTGGTAACATATCTTTTAAATATAGAATCTCCAAATGCAAAAAACACAAGATGTGAACACCTCCAAATCTGAACGCTTTTATCTGGTCCCAGTTGTGTTCGAATAAGACAGATGTATAATACTTTCAAGAAACTCAGAAGCACAATCTACTATTTTATTATTCTCTCTGGGAATTTTTTTCAATTGGTTTTAAACTTCAGTCATTTCATAATCGATATGCACTAACACAAGTTTTAGTAAATGGAGTGCTCCAACACATTTCCTTTAAATCCAATTTGAAATAAAATGGACAAAGTAGACAGAAATAATGTTGTTTTCAATATTTTTCATTTTAAATATTGTCCCTCCATAAGTGCTAAACCGAGGGGAGGGTTTAATATCTAAAACCATTTTACGAAAATTCCAGGCCAGGCTAAAAACGGAGTATATGTAAAATAGATATATGTTGTGATTACCAAAATTTTGAATTGTAAAACATATATTTTGGTTAAAATGAGAGACTTTTTCGGTTGAAATGATAAAAAATTACGTAAAACTGTTTACCAATATTTATCTTTCCACCAAATATGATGAAATCCGTCTAACAGTATTCGAGTTATCTTCCGGACGGCAGACAGACGGATAGACGGACGGATTGACTATACCCATCCCGAACTTTGTTCGTCGGATAACAATTCGAAAATGTTTTTAATCCCTGGCATAATCGCTTCATGATATTGATTATTGGATTCTGATGATTAATTCGTATTCTAAATAGTTTAAAACGTCGGTGAACAGGTGATTACATTTAATTATTGGAAATTTATTGCTGCTTATATAATATATCCTTTGACGGAAAAACTTTATTACGTATACACAACATATACGAGAAAGGCCCTGTCAACTGGTCACGTTATTCATAATTATCTGAAATGCGTTTCATCTTAGGTAAGTAAAAAAAATACTTTTGAAGTTTTCTAGAATCACTCAGAAAGTCTTGGATGATTGTTTTGTTTAAAAAGCTTGTAAACTTGCCAAATGGAATAACTTTTGTTTTATTGAATCTATTATTTTATTTTTTAACATAAAAAGACATTGTGACTATGTTTCATGCTGGGACATTATATTATTAGGCCGTCAAGGCCGTATTCAGGTTTGTTTTGTCCTAGGAAGGGGTGACTTAAGGTTGACTAACAATCATGTGTTTTAAGGATTCATTTAGTATCTTTCGAAAAAATGTTTCTCCTTTAGTCCAGGCTAAATCATTGGTCCGTCTTAGGAGAAGATAACGGATTTAAGATGGCGGATGGTATGTGTTAGTTTTGATAATTTTAGTTTTAGTCGAATTAAACCAATTTTTAGTTGCCATTCGGTTTGATGTTTGAACTACATCAGCTTATAGTAACTCGATAATATGCTAAATTAGACATAAAGGAAATTTTCAGATAAGTCCTAGTTGTTTCCTCCCGTTGGATCACCATTCTTGTTGATAAGTTTAAATGTATATTCCTACATACGTTCACTGCTAAGCAACTGTCAACATTACCGTTTACTTATTAACGTAGGGTCTAATAGGGGTCCAAAAATAAAAATATGAATTCAAGTTTACAACTGATGACCTACTAATGAATTGGTTGTTTGAAAGGTAATTTGCATATATATTTATTTAATTTGTTAAATTGAAAATGAAACCCTCCGTGTGTCTGTATTATTGTTCAATTTTTAGAAATAATCTTCACATTTATTTCATCTTCATTGCACATCTATGTTGTTCTTCAGGATTTGACAAGAGAATACTATTTGATGTGTAATCAATGTGTTTTAATCATCTTTATAATAGGTGTTCCCCAGGGTTGCACTTATCGTCACGCCTATTTTAATTCATGATCTTGTGATCTTTTGATTCATGATCTCATTGGCAATAAAAGTTAAATCTATGTATTGTTCAATGTGATGGTGCTGTCATTCTCAGATACTGACAATATACGCATGGACGACCTCTCACCGTCCAACTTATACAGTGAAGTAGTCCACTATAAGTGAAAACTCCAGAATGCCGAACTGTTTGAATAGAAAAATAGCTAAAATAATTCTTGAGTTCGGAATTCACGATATAATACCATTACACGTATGTAGATTCAGAAAAATAATAGAAAATCTAGTTCTCACATTTTCCCACCCAAGAGTAAATTATTGATATGGAATGCGCATGCGCAAAAAACTTACGGAATACCGAACAGTTTGAATAGAAAAATAAGAAATGCCGAGTTTTTTGAATAGAAAAATGTTATTATTATTTAATATTAGTTATAGAATTCCATATCCCTATTTGAACGGCTTTTAAGGTCATATCTGAAAATAATTGCTGCTGTGAACATGGCCGAGGGGGGACACATTGACTAGTAATGTGGTGTAGAATTGAACTTTATTTTGACAAAACACTAACTTTTAAAATGACTGTAACTGTAACTAAGATTGATCGGTTCCCATTGGCTTTATATGTTAAGTTTGGAGTTTCATTATCTCGATTCACAAGATCTCAATTGCTTCAACTTCAAGACCACCCTGGAAATCAATAATAAATGTTTAACATGACCAGAAATCAAAAACTTAACTTCAGAAATTAAACATATTGTGCAATATCGATCAAATGTCTCTCAATCCCTCTCACGAAAAATCTAAATTGATTTTTTACATAAAAATATTTTTTCGGCTTTGTATTCACTGCTTTGTGTTGTGTTGTGTTGTGTTGTGTATTTGGTTTTTGTATTGCCCCAATATGACATTTCTAATAACATTTATGGAATGATGAGGTTATTTCTGGTCGGGATTTAGCCTTTATGTATACACCCTATGCAGACAGAGCCTGTGGGAAATATTGGGTGCGGAGCAAATGAGCGGAGGGTGCGGAGCTAACGGTCATTTTTGAATTTAAATTTGGGATATTTCTGAAACTAAGCCGATTTGGGACTTCAAATATACCAAGATATGTGTATTTGACACCAAATATCAATACAATTGTGCAAATAGTAGCGCAATTCATTCTATAGCGACGCAGTGTGCCTTAAACCCTTCCCTTAATTTTTTTGGACCTGGAATCTGCATTTGATAAAGTCAAGCACAATTTACTCATTCACAAGTTAAAATCATATGGTTTTGATGAAAATATTTTGACTCTAATTAAATCATACCTAAGTAATAGAAGAGTATGTACGCGCTTAAACGGGACTTTATCTGAATTTTCAGAAGAAAGCTACATAAACAGCGGTGTTCCACAGGGTTCCATTTTAGGTCCCATCCTGTTTTTGCTTTTCATTAATGACCTACCAGAGGTCATTCAGTCAAAATGTTTCATTTATGCCGACGACACATCCATATATGTGCCCGTTCAAAAGTCCGAGGATATTGCAGTATCAAACTTATTACTACAGCGTGACTTGGATAATGTTTACGACTGGTCAAGAGTATGGGGCTTAAATTTCAAGCCCTCTAAAACCAAAGAAATTATTTTCTCCAAATCTGGTCGAGCCCAAAGAAATTACCCTATTTTGACCTTAAGCGACAGAGAAATAGAGAGAGTAAAACACCATAAACACCTTGGCGTTATCTTAGATAACCACCTTGATTTCAAAGAACATATAGATCAGCTTAAATTAAAAATAGACAAAATGCTAAATCCTTTAATCGCTTTAAAAAATAGAATCTCATCCAAACATCTTGAAAGAATGTACCTATCTTTTATTTTGCCTAAAATATAATTCGGCTCTATCTTTTACAACTGCGCCATAGTTGGAAATCTTTAAGTGAAAGAAGACAAGAAAAAATGGCAACTCTTATGTACAAAGTTACCAAAAACAAAGTCCCTCGCTATGTTCATGACATATACAGAAATCTTCAAAATCCTGGGGTAGAGCGTGCTCTTCGTGCCCGACACGAATACAACATTCCTGCTAGATCATCCACAAAATTCACAAATTCACCAGCCATTGCACCAATAAGAATATGGAAAACTATCTCTTTAGAAGTCAAGAACAGTCCCTCAATATCAGCCTTTAAGTCACGTTACAATAAATGGAAATATAACCCCAACCCCCGTTCAGTGCTGACCACAAAACTAAACCTCAAAAGATCTATCGAAATTAAATTGAATCGTATCCGAGTTGACCTGGCATCCAGAGCAGATTTTTACAGACACAATTTTAAAGAGTTTACAGATCCCAGTTGCCCCTGTGGATATCAACAGCAAACTAAGTCGCATTTACTCCTTGATTGCCCTCTATCGAATGGAGCCAGAGAAGTTTTTACCCAAAACCTGAAGGAGCTGCCTAGTTTTAATTATAACAACTTTGCCACTTTAACAAAGTCTAGTAAAATCAAGATTATGCTTTTTGGAGATTGTAAACTTTCAGATGAATGTAACAAAGAAATTACCAATTTATCAGCAAATCTTATAGACAAAATCATCTGATACTTTATAAAAATTCATGATCGTAAGGACAAAGTTCAACCCATCTTTCATCAATCATTATCATTCATTCCTTACATTTCCCATAAGGACTATGTAACTCTTATAAAAGACATGACACATGTTTTGAGAACCATTATAAATATATGTTAATTTGCAAATTTTATAAAGGGAGGCCAATAATGTAATGTTTTACCTAGGCCTTCCTAGTATGTTAACAAGTGTATAATCTTATTGCAAATAAATAAAACTTAACCTTAAAAAAAACCCCTTCCCAGACCTATATATTTTGAAATTATCCTTTTAATACTGAGTCGCCAGCATTCATAAAAAATGGTGTTCAAGGTACACTATCTATACAAATTATTTTTGCATCTTGGAAGCCGGGCAGTATCTGTGATTTTATAAAAATTCGGAAATGTTTTTCAGATATGAGCCCCCTCTAAATATTGGGTGCGGAGGAGCTCCATAAACGTACCTCCGCACCCAATATTTAGAGGGGGCTAAAACTACAAAGATTTTTTTTTTGAAAATTTGTTTTAATACAAACAGTCTGATTAACTATAAAAAGTGAAAATAAACCATATTTGATTGCTTTTGGAGATTTAAAATAAATTGTGAAATAAATTGTCAATGTACTATTTGTATGCATTAATAATAGAGATATTATTAAGGTTTACTACTCGAATTAGCACTTCACCAAGAAAAATAATATATTTAAATAAATTTTATTTCATACTTCATTGTGTCACATTCCAGTTCATATGTTATATTACTCAAATGTTCATAGAAGTAAAATATTCGAATGTGGTGTATGTCACCATGAATGTATACTTCAATATATCCTCAAAACATTTGCAGACACGATGGTTGGTTTACTATTATTATAAAATGGATATTTAAACATATAATGTTATGTGGAAACATATATATTGTCACTATCATCATCACAGTCTGTCATCGACTATTTTGAACAGTGAGGTGGATCAGGTCATTTTTACAAGTTTCAATGTTTCCGCACAAATTGTTATTTAACTGAAATCTACTTCTTATTCTCAAATAAAATGAACCAGCGCAAGCAGTGACAATTGTCAATCATACTTCTGAAAGACATTCGTAAGAAACCTTCAATGACTGAATACGTTCAGTTAATGAAAAAGGCGTGAACATCCTCAACTCAAAACTATCATTTTCCCTTATTAATTTTTAACGTTTTTAGCGGAGTCTTTTGTTTATTATTTTGAGTGATAGTCTGCGATTAAAAAGATTCCTTGCTTCAAACGATTATGCCTTCTTTTATTTGATTAAAAACACTATGAACAATGGGGGAGAGCAAACAATGGGGAGCATGAATTTGGACAGCCTTAGCACATCAGTCATGTAGACAATACCAAGTGGCTTGGTAGCTTGCTGCACCAATGATATAGCAGGATAATCAATAGTCTTGATCAGCATAGTTTACGGGTAAAATAACAGTTTATGCCATACCACATACCTTATATAATAGGAAAATTAACTTGTAGAACTCTTTTATGTGCAGCTCTAATGCTTTTCGCAATATCCCAGATGCGAGTAGAAATAATCTTGATTTACGTCATTAAAAATTCACAATTCAGTCAAACTGATGTCATATTTGGAATCTATATGTAAAATAACATTTAGAAATGTGGTTTTGAAAAGAGTTTATCAACTTTGAAAATTGAATTTTCTTTGAAAATGTGACTTCTAGGTCGGGGAGATTCCATGTTGTAAAACCACAAAAAGTGAAATATCTTTTCATGTGTTGGGCAGATAATATTTTCTTTTACTGGACTATGTTAATTTGTATAACTATCAGGGTCACAGGGTCACAGGGTCGGGTTCTTTACACCTTAGCTGATGTTAATAATATGAAAACTTTGGTTGTTTTTGAAATAAAATTAAAAATCTATTTCAAAGTTAATAAACATATTTACAAATTTACAGTTTGCGATGGAATTTTCCAAATAAAATTCTACCTTTAACTTTCCTTATCTTAACACTAATCTAATTAACTTTTCTAATAACTAACTTAACTCACTTCCAATAAACAATAGTTTTCAAATTAAATTTTAATATACTCAACAAGAAGTATATTTGCACTACTGTATATAATTGTAACCGCTCACTATTGTCATTAGTAAAGCCTGCTGTAGTCAATAAAATGTAATTTTATGATAATTTAATTATATCACCATATTTTGAAGATCCACTGTTGTTATTGTACGAAACACCCGCAGTCTAATAACTCTGCACACTGGTCTGCATCAGCGATAATAATCTGGCACGTACACAATTATAGTTATAGTTACATTGTCATAGATGCACAAACACTCGCAGTTTGTAGCTCCTGCACACTGGTTCACACTATCGATATATAAACGGATATGTACACGTCTTGTCTGTAGTTACGTCAAATGTTCATTTTACAGATACACAATTCTTACGGTACGAGTAGCTCCTGGACTCTTGCAATAATGTCATATTCACATCACGGATTTTAATCACACGTATAATTGTCCTCATCAGTAAGAACAATAGCACGTTAATATACACACTTGTTTCACTTTTCGTAACGATTATTAGTTCTTCATCAGTTAGTAAAAGTTGACACTATTGTCACAATTTTCACAAGTTTCACTATCACTATGCAATCACATAAGTTCATAACTGTTGTAGAATATCTCATATTCTAGTTAACTTTCATTTCACATATCTCAAATGATGCATAATTCACTTCATATATATCAAAAATATCACATTCCACATTTGTGCTTTTCTCACTCTCTAAAACTATTTCACTTCTACTTTTTCCCTACATGTCTACTCTATATCACATATATATTGCTTGTTCCCAGTTCCTACACTTAAAATTACAGTGCTAATTTTGACCTAATTTGGTAATAAGTGAATGTAAGAATTTGTAGGAAAGGCCAGGGTAATTAAAAATTTGAGGTATATTAGGCTAAACCAATTTAATAAGGTAGTATTTGTGACATTACCCCCTTGTTTGAGAATATAGTATATATTCTTTAAAATACAAGTACACAGTATGTAATTTATGTTAGTGTGAGTAATACTATATGAGTATATGTAGTATGTAACTAAGTTCTTTTATGGTTATATTAGACATTTCTACTCAGAAAATCTGCTCCAAAGTTATCTGCTCCTTTAATGACTTCAATTGTGTAATCATATTGCTGTAGAAATAAGGCCCATCTTGTTAATCTGGCATTTGTCAATTTAGCTTTTTCCAGATAAGCTAATGGTTGGTGATCTGTTTGTATTTTGAATTTGGTGCCATGTAAATATTCTTGAAATCTGTTGATTCCCCAAACTACTGCCATACATTCACGTTCTACAGTCGAGTAATTTTGTTCACGAGGTGAGAGTTTCTTGCTTGCAGTTGAGACAATGTGCAATAAATTATCATGCTCTTGTAGTAATATTGCACCAATTCCCACATCAGAGGCATCTGTTCGCAGGACAAATTGTTTGTCGAAATCCGGTAGTTTCATGATTGGATGGTTACCTAGTTTTTCCTTAAGTTTGTTGAAGGATTTGGAATGGTTTTCTTCCCACTTCAGTTTATTTGGGTTTCCCTTTTTGGTCAAGTCTGTCAATGGTGCTGCAATTGTAGCATAGTTGGGAATGAACTTTTGGTAATAACCAATGGATCCCAAAAATGACCTGATTTCTGTTTTGTTTTTAGGAGGTTGTGCTCTTAATATTTTCTCTACTTTCTGGTTTTGTGTGTGTAGTTCTCCATTTCCAACTTCATGTCCAATGAATTCTAAGGATTCAAAACCAAAGAAGCATTTTGATGGTTTGACAGTTAAACCAGCTTCTTCAATTCTCTCAAACAACTTTTTGAGAACATTGATGTGCTCGCTCATTGTTTCTGTATATATAATTACATCGTCGATGAAATTTTCAACGTTGTCTATGCCGTGTAGTATCATTCTCATCATTTTGTTGTAAGTACTGCCTGCATTTTTCAAACCAAAAGGCATTCTCTTGAAGCGAAATAAACCATGATGAGGTGTTCTAAATGCTGTTTTGTCACGATCTGCTTCAGCAACAGGTATTTGCCAGTATCCCTTACAAAAATCTAGTTTCGAAAATATTTTTCCTTTTGACAATTTTGCAAATATAGATTCTGCAGTGGGCATTGGTTCCGCATCAAATACTGACACCTTGTTCAGCTGTCTAAAGTCAATCACTGGTCTATTAGTACCATCTTTCTTTTTAACAAGGAAGAGAGGTGCTGAGTATGGAGAATTGGCTTTTTCAATGATATCATACTTAATCATTTCATCTATTTCTTTGTTAACATCTTCTTTTGAAGCATGTGGTATTGGGTATGGTTTCCTGCATGTAGGTTTGTCAGATGTAACATGTATTTCATGTTCTATTAAGTTTGTACAACCTGGGTTTGAGGAAAAGATTTTTCCATACTTTTTGGTGATGTCTTGGAATTCTTTTATTTGTTTTCCATCTAACTTGTCATTGATTTTTATATCATCTACTGTTTCAGTCTTTCCTATACAATTTTGCATGAGGCAATCATTATTCATTTCTTCATCTTCATCATCATCTTCTTCTATGATTCCAATTGCACTTGCAATGGTATTGATATGATTCTGGATCCCATCTTGACTTGTAATTGTTTCTTCTTTGTTTCTAGTATTGTATTTCTTTAACATGTTAATATGAAACAACTTCTTCTTTTCTCCTATCTTGATAAGGTAATCATTGATTCCTTTTTTCTCAATGACTTGGAATGGCCCCTTCCAGTGCATCATTAATTTGTTGTTGTCAGTTGGAAGAAGTATGAGAACCTCTTCTCCTGGTTTTAAGTTTCTTGGCTTTGATCTTTTATCAAATTGTTTCTTGTATCTGTCTTGATTTTTTTCCATGATTTCATGAGCTATTTCACATGTAGCTTCAAGTCTATTCCGTAAATCAAGTACGTATTGATATGTTGTTTTTATCTCTTCATCGGCTATTTCTTTGGTCCAAAGCTCACGTAGAATTGCCATCGGTCCCCTGACAGTTCTGCCATATAGCAACTCAAATGGAGAAAAATGTGTTGATTCTTGAGGTACTTCTCTGTAGGCGAAAAGAAGTGGTTCCAAGTAGCGATCCCAGTCCTTTGGTTTCTCGTGGCACATACGCTTCAACATAGTTTTCAGGGTCCCATTGAAACGTTCTACCCCTCCGTTTCCTTGTGGGTGGTA